CTACGGGTTGACTGGGGTGTTACACGCAGGCTACTGTCGGTCGTGCTACGCTCGCTATGTGTGGGCGGGCACTACGGTCGGCACCTTGCCGGCCGTTCGACGACTTTTTCTGGCAACGGCTACATGAATCAACATCATATGACATATAATGACCGAAATGCATAAATTGCTTGCGAGTTCTCGGCTGAAACATGAAATGGCTTGGGAGGGCCTTTATGGCACTTCCGAGTGCAACATGACCTATCTAATGAACTTAGCCACATGTTTTACAGATGATCTTGTTAAAATGATCATAAAATAACTAAAAGAAGGTTGATATGAGTATACCCCTTCGATCGCTCGTGGAAAGTGCTAGGACTTGCGTGCTCTTGCTCACAGCTACTCAGAGTGTGCGTGCTCACTTGAACAAGGCTAGAGTGCAAACTATATATTCTCCACTTCTCCTTCTGTACTCTCGGTATTTTTCTATCTTTTCTCTCGAATATTAGCTCGGTTTTGCATGGTAAAATCACTCACGGCTATTTACTATATAAATAGAGTAAAAAATAGATGGAGATGAAATTATGGTTTAACCTTCGAATGCCACTTGCTCAAACCTTAGGCTTTGGTGGCATAAAACTCGCCTAGTCACTATGCCAAGGGCTAGATTAGTCATCACTTCGAAGCTACCAAGATGCCACATGGCTAAGTACCTAGGTGAGTCATGGATGCAAGTTGCGCATTTTCTTACCTTAAGCTAGCACATCTACACGGCAATTACTTAGGGCTTAAGCATGAATTAGTACAACTTTCTCTTGATACTTACCTTAACCTAAGCTAATGATGGACGGTGGCTAGTGGATGGCGTGCACGCGCAAGGTAACATGCATTGCTCTCGACAATGCTATGGCCGACGCACGCGCAACATAGGCGCGGTCGTGCATAGTGCGTGCACATGATTTAAGTTGATATGCTTTGGCTTAAGATTAAGCACCATGACTTAAACCGAATTTACTTGATTTCGGTCAGAACTTAACTTCGGAATTTAATTCGAATATTCTCAATTTTGAATAATTAATCCCGACTAATAATGTCCGTTTATAAAATAAACGTTTTGGAACTAATTATCGAAACTAACTCGGTTATTGAAAATAAAATAAACCAAATAGATTTTCGACTTGAAGTCAAACTTATTAGCTCGAAGGCTAAAATTAGTAATATTAACAAAAGAAAATACATCACTTTTATTAACAACAAACTGGGCTACTACAATCTACCCTCCTAAAAATATTTCCGCCCTCGGAAATACGAAACTGGACATATATAAAGAATACAAGAAAAAGTATATATATCAAAATTCAAAGTTAGGAAAACAAGCTCTAATGTCGGCTTCGCGCTCCCATGTGGCATCAGATTCACCGTGGCAATTCCATCTGATACGTACGAGGGAATATCTCAGTTCCGGAGCCGATGAACCCTACGGTCCAAAACTGCTATCGGCTGTTCCACGTACGATAAATTTGGCTGAAGCTGGATCTCACTATGCTGATGAATATGATCTGGATCGCACACGTATTTCCGTAACATAGATACATGAAAAACATTATGCACATTGGATAGCTCGAGAGGCAATGCTAAACTATAGGCTACTTCGCCCACTCGCTCGAGAACTTCGAACGGGCCGATGAAACGAGGATGTAACTTTCTTCTCTTCCCGAATCGAATGATCCTTCGGAATGGTCGAACTCTTAGAAAGGCTCGTTCTCCAACCTCGAACTGAATATCTCGTCTGTGTTTGTCGGCCGATTATTTCTGCCGACTCTGAGCTGTTTTAAGCCTCTGTCGGATCAACTCTACTTGCTCAATTGTTCCCTCGATCTTCTTCAGAACGAGTACCTGACGTTGGCCAACATCGTTCCAATAAAGGGGTGAATGACATTTACGACCGTAAAGTGCTTCGTAAGGAGCCATTTGGATCGACGCCTGATAACTATTGTTATAGGCGAACTCAGCTAATGGCAAAATCGCCTCCCACTTGGCACCTCTGTCTAAAACCAAAGCTCGGAGCATATCTTCGAGCGTGTGGATGGTCTTCTATGATTGACCGTCTCTCTGGATGGTAAGTCGAACTGAACTATAACTGCATGCCCATCGCCTCGTGTAAAATCTCCTAGAACCTGCTGGTAAATCTAGGATCTCAATCTGACACAATAGTAACGGGAACTCCGTGGAGTCGAATGATCCCATGGGTATAAATCTCGGTCAACTTCTCCATCGACATAGATATTGTCACAGGTAGAAAATGTGCGACTTTCGTCAATCTGTCTACTACTACCCAAATTGCGTCATGATGCTCGGACGACCTAGGTAACCCTGTAACGAAGTCCATCATAACTTTCTCCCACTTCCACTTCAGAATCTCAAGTGGTTGTAGAAGGCCAAATGGTCTCTTGTGCTCGGCCTTGACTTGCTGGCAGACCAAACACTTCTTCACGAAATTGGCTACGTCTTTCTTCATTCCTCGCTACAAAAACGACTTTTTCAAGTCGTGGTACATCTTTGTGCTGCCAGGGTGAGCTAAATAAGGCGCGGTGTGTGCCTCTGTCAAGATCTCCTTCCGCAAAGCCTCGACTTTTGGTACCATGATCCTGCCTCTGAACTCCAAGGCTCCATCTGTGCCTCGGTAAAAATCCTCGATTCCTCCGGCGTGAACTTTGGCCTCAATAGCACGAACAAACTGATCAAAAGCCTGCTGCCGCCAGATTCTATCTCTCAAAGTGGGCTGGATCTGCATCGAACTGACACTCCCTGTAATCTTCGCAGGAAGTGACTCGAAGACCTGAATCTGCATCCGGGCAAAGTCTCGGACAAGTTGGTTCTGCTGAGTAATAGAATAAGTTAATTCTCCTTTATCTTTCGGGTTAGGGCATTAGCTACAATATTTTCCTTCCCCAGATGATACTGAATTGTGGAGTCGTAGTCTTTAATAAGCTCTAACCAACGTCGCTGATGCATGTTGAGCTCTTTCTGCGTGAAAATGTACTGCAGACTCTTGTGATCGGTATAAATCTCGCACCAACCGCCATACAAATAATGCCGTCATATCTTATGTGCGTGTACCACTGCAGCTAGCTCCAAGTCGTGCGTAGGATAGTTCTGCTCATGGGGCTTCAACTGACGTGAAGCGTACGCTACAACCTGGCCATCTTGCATAAGTACACACCCCAAACCCTGTCTCGAAGCATCACTAAAGATGGTGAAACTCCGAGAAGAATCCGGAATAGTCAGCACCGGTGCCGTCGTAAGCCTCTTTTTAAGCTCCTGAAAGCTCGACTCACAATGATCTATCCACTCAAACTTCACAGACTTCCTTGTCAACTTGGACAAAGGGAGAGAAATCTTCAAAAATCCCTCAATAAGTCTGCGATAATAACCTGCTAGGCCGAGGAAACTACGAACCTCAGACGGATTCTTCGACGCTGGCCAGTTCTGAACTGCGACAATCTTTGATGGATGAACTTCGATACCTGCCTGAGTAATAATGTGGCCAAGAAAAGCCACTCGTTACAGCCAAAATTTGCATTTAGAGAACTTAGCATATAATTTTCTCAAGAACAACCCTCAGATGCTCTTCATGCTCCTTCTGGCTCCTGGAATAAATCAAAATGT